TTTCAGCCCTCCGCGACATGCTTCCAGAGATGAAAACTCGATAACTATGAGAGGTAGGAATAAAAATTAAAGAAAATGCATGTAGTTTTCGACGAGGAGCATTTTTTCTTTGAAACTTTTCCGCCTAACTCCAACTGTTTCCGCGAAATCGCGTTATGAACAATTAAATTGTTATAAATAAACAAAACTAACAACACCGCGTAAAAATGGTTTACACATTCGTGTTCAGTAAATTTCACCACGCTGCGACAGGTTCGGATTTTGATTTTCCCATACCTTAATCCAGTAGTCCATAAAATGAAATGATGATGTGAATTTTTTCGGATTTTTAAAAAGTTTTTTTGACTCGGCACAGAGATTTGAAAATTCTTATGGGGATATACGCACATGAAGGAGAACATAATTGTACAATTATCATTATGTGAAGTAATTATTGACATAATCATTATTATTAATTGCGAAAATCTTCCCAGAGTATCACAGAATAGAAACGGTATTTTTCCCGATTTTTTCATTAATTTGTTACTGAAGAAAAAAGCACGATTTTTCCTGAAAAGAGGGATCTTTGAGGCCCTGTCAAGGTCACTCAAACGTTCCTGTTCTCTTTGAGCTCTCGCTACATGATTGTTCAACTATTGTATTTTCTCCTCGAAAAACAAGTGAGTACTTTTTTTAATTTTAAATCAATGAAAAATGCAAAAGAAAATTCTCGAATTTGTCAGCAGCGTCAAGTGCACGGCTTATCCAGGGTTATTATGAGGAGCCATATACTGAAATGGATAGGCTTGGACAACGGGTCGAGCGGTCCTCGCACGGGACCCGCTCGATTCGACAATGTTTTTTATTGAACCCAAATAAAAACCCTGTACCTTTTTATTTTTCATTATTTCACTATTTTAATTTTCGTAATTTGTCATGAAGAAATCATATTTTTGGATTCCTGTCACCACCACGATTCCTACAAAACTTGATTCATAACGATATCACAATTTGGAGGTGAAGCTCGTCCATTCGGATTCGAAGAAATGAATCTGATTGAAGATTAATAGTCAAATTTCAATGGTATAAATATGAATTTAATCGTGATTCCACAATATTTTAATACATTATTATTTCCAATATTTAAGAGCTAAATCATAGACCATTACTACGATACAACTAGGAGGAAATTAAAACTGAACATGATTAACCAAGCTTAGCAAAAATCATGAGTTATTCATAACTGGATGTTGATTAAAAATTTTGTTAATACTCCCCGGGAAATATTTCACGGTTACGATAATAACTCAATCTACATCAATTGGAGAGTCTATTGACCCATTACTCAAATAATTTTCTAGAGAAAATTTCATACTCTCTTCTGTGCAATCTGGTAATAGTTCCCGCAATTTTTTAACAATCAAAATTAGTTGTTGTTTTTTTCTCTCATCTTTCGTAAGAAAATCATTGTATTCACTTACGAGAGCCACGCTCCTTTTAGCAATATCATTCGTCACATGCAAATGTTTGACAATTTCCAACGCTTTAGTAAAATCGTCTCTCCCCTCCCAGATTGTAGGATCGCTATCCAGAAAACTGGGATCAATTTTCAGAATCTCAAAAAATTTAATTGTATTTTTAGTTTCAAATGAATCTAAACTCAGATCTTGAATAGATTTCTGATCATTAATATCCATTTTCCTCTTCTTCCTACAATCAATGAGAGGAGGACGAGATTTGATCGCTTGACACATCTTTCTTTTACAAAAAACGCCAGAGCTATCAATTCCTCCGATAAATACCACAAATGATTTAGAAATTTCTCAAATACCGCTTTATAAGATTTAGGGGGAATGCAGCTAGTAGTACACGCATTTGCTTCCAATTTTTTTAACAGTAACAGTAATGGCCTAACATCCTTGAAGAGTTAAACGGCGAACTAGAGCGTTTTTTGGAAAATGAGTTATCTTAAAAGTGAAATAGCGAATTTTTTTCTTCATAACAATAGAAAAAACATTTATTGATTGAAATATCATACCTTGTTTCACTAGTGCGCCAGTGTTTTTTTCTTCATCTTCTTCATCTATCTCACTACAAACAATCCATGTCCCTGTGTCGATTATTGTATCCAAACAATTCCTTCCCTTCTCTCGATGCAGATTCAATAAACTCTTAGCTGATTCGTTTTTCAAAATATCTACTTGGCTTTGAAGAGCGATATCGAATAAGTCTTCCAGCTCATTTATGAATTTCATCTCCTTGTATTGAACTGTTGGCGATGTTTTTCTCCGAGAGCCATACTTGAGTATAGATTTGTGGTTCTCCACTAATATTTCCAGTTTTGTAATCCCATGGCACTCTTTCAGAATTGGAATTTCTGCATAATCCCAAAACACAGCACACTTTCGCACAACCCATGTTCCAGCCACACGACCGGTGACCGGCGGTGAGGCATGTCTCATGTAAAAATAATAACATTGCAATGCTTGTTTTTTTGAAGGCAGATGGTTTCCAGAAATTTCCGAGGTTACAGTACCCACTAACTCAATTTTGGTAATTTGGCGCGTTACCGGCATATTTCCGCGCACTTTCTCGATACTAGTTGTTCAAGCGAAAATTTTAACGTAGCAATGGTTGCGATGTTGACCGTTCAGAAGTCATCCTTCAACTGAACCTTATTGCAGACGAGAAAATTGTCAAGAGCAATTTCATTACATGCAAGACAAAGCAGCAGAAAACTCCACCCCCGAAACACGAAAAATAACAGTGAAATTTGCCTCCCTGGAATCATAAATTGGTTCGAAATTAGTCTGTAATGTTCCTCAGGTAATATTTGTCTGGGCACCGTCCAACTCAATGTTCCAAACTCATCAATTCTTCATTTAGAGGATTTCTTAAAATTTCATAGACAAAGGTTCGTAAAATAGACTGAGGAGATTTTCAAATGATTTTAGTACACGGAGAAAAATTTTCAATAAAAATTATCCTACCTTTCTATGGAAGTGTATTATGAGTCTCTTCTCTTTTCATTTCCATTCCAAAATTTGATGAAAATTGAAGGTGGGACAACGAAATTGTATACGTGAAAATCTAATTTTATTCTTCGTTAGAAAAATTTCAATCTTATGATGATAAAAATTAATGCGGCGTAATAATTGCTGCAGGGACAAATGGTAAATTTCACCCCTCCTCTAGAGTGATTTCATCCTTAAAAACTCCAAATGCGAATAACAATTCATGTCGTGAATTCAATGCTCACAAAAAAAAAAATATTCAAATTTTTAGGATTAATTTTAACAAGCATTGGGAACCTTCTCGATTTTTGAATGAATTATTTCATTTTTGTAATCGATCATGTTGTTCATGTGATTCTTTTGGGTGCACCCGAGCGCGTCCGGAACGCTAAACTTTCCCGAAACGTACAGATTTATTGTATTACTTGGACGAGGCCCATTGCACCGGCCTGAGTCGTCTGCTACCTGGGTAAGGACTGTCATAAAGCCATTTGACTTTTCATCAAGCATCACAGCTACAAACTGCCAGTAGGTCAGATATTTTTGTTAAACTTTGGATTGCGGGTGCCGGCCCAAAAAACGTCAAAAATTCGAAAAAATTCACATCATTTCATTTCATGAAATTTTGGATTAAGATATGGGAAAATCAAAATTCGGAACGTGTCGCAAAATGGTGAAATTGAGTGTTCAGGGACCTCAAAAACATACAGTCCAATGATAAAATTCAATGGATCTAAAAATGTATACGGGACCGGTCACAGTATATAGACTAGAACTCCATATTACTCCAATCTGACCTCCATATGACCTTAACATAAGCGCCGTATCTCCTCCACATCGCCCTCATGTGATACCCATATAATCTCCATACAAACCCCCTAAGGTCTCCATATCACCGTCATTGTGACCGTTCCTGAACCTTACTCTGACCCTTTCTGGCACTTACTTCGATCTATCCAGATCCTTGTTTTGACTCTTTTTCACCATTTCTAACCCTTATTCGGACTTTATTTTGACCCTTCTAGTAAGGTCTACAAAACCATAGGTCGCGAGGGGTAAAACCAAGGTTCACAAGTGTCGAAATTCAGGGTTATGAGGGTGAAAAGTGTAGGTCAGAAATAAAGTTCAGAAATGCAGGTCAAAAGTGAGTATCATATTCAAACCTATTCGGAAGCCTATTGCTAATTTATCAGCTAAATAGGAATTTATCAGCAACAATTGATAACAGAAAGTAAATATTGACTTTTTTTTTCTTCATACCCTCTCACCACACATTCATGCATTTCTGAGTAAATTGAGAAAAAGAAGCAATAATAAGATAATGTCCTAGGTTTGAAACCACGTCACACGAATGGGAGCATTCTAGAAAGGGCTTCGTCCCATGTGATATATGGACATTTAACGCACATGAATACATTTATCTATCCATACGTCCCTTGAATCAGTTAATTACGTCGTGTAAATGGAAAAAAGGTCCAACTGTAAACACACTGTAAAAACTCCGGTCTTACGAGCGGTCTGAAACTAAGATTTAAGACAGGAAGTCCGATAAACGGTCTTAAAATCTGTCCAATTTCCGATCTTAAGGGGTCTCGTCAGTAATATTTTTGAGCATAGAGTGGGGGTAAAAATCAAAGACAGTCAGCTGCAACTTCTAGGAAAAAAAATGAGATGAAAGATCTTCGCATCCTTTGATAAAAACTACCCAACATAAATTATTTTCACTTTATTAGAAATAATAACTTCCTCAGAAAATGATTTTTTAGATTGAAAACGTTCCTATAATTATAAAAATTGAAATGAATTAGCGATGTCAACTTGGCAACAGCGCGATTTAGTTTCAAGGAGTTGGTATTGATTCGGTCGGTAAAAACATATCCTTCCTGAATATCACCGTGTCATGTGGCTATGTGCTAATGGAGTAGAGGTTATATCAGCTCATCGTAAACAACAACAAATATTCATTTTCCAATAATTAATAACTGCGGTCAATAGTTAATTGTGGCAATGGAAAATTCAGAGGGAACCAGGGTCAGATATAAAGCAAAATTCATCAAGAAAAAACATGTAAATTTGCTGTTATCTCAAGTTCGCGTTGACAAGAATAATAAAGGCAGAACAGTTCAAGTGGTTCCGCCGATCCACGACGAAGAAAACGGAGATGTGCCAGTGAAAAAAAGAAAATTAAAAAATGAAGGAGTAGGAGGAAACCGACAAGATGAAGAAGAGCAGAACAGTGCTGATGAGTGGTTTGAAACTACTGATAATGATCCAGGAGAATCAGTGTCCCCAGAGCCATTTACTGGCAATCGCATTGTGGATTTAGAGTTATTGAGCGAGGCTCTCGTATATGAAGCAGGTAATCATCCTCTGTCTTTGAAGGATATTCAGGCAGAGAGAAAAAGAGGTCTGGGTTCATATTTATTTATCAAATGTTGGGAATGTTTGAAGATACAGAGGGTGCCTACCAGCAAGTGCCTGCCAGACCGAGAAAATGGCAAAAAAAAGAGAATTTTGAGATAAATTTTCAAGCTGTTCTAGGTAAATATAGAAAATTCTTGTTCTTCGCTGTTGGTATTAATATAATAATAATCGCTATTGGTATTAATAGATTGTTAAATTTTATAGGTTGTATTCATGCTGGAATCGGAAACCAACCATTCAATAAACTATTGGCACCCATGAGCATTCCCCCCTTCTATTATAACACCTTCCAGTTCTGCGAGAAAAAAGTAGGCCCAGTTATCGAGACTATTGCTAGAGAGAGCTGCGACAGAGTGACAAAAATTGAAAGGGAGTTAACAATAGCGAATAAGAATGATATTGAAAAGATGGTATGAGTATTTTTCGAGGGGAACTCCTGTGTCAATTTTTCGGCAATTCAGAGTGAAAACATCCATCAGTGAGGATGGTTTTCGCCGAAAGTTTGCAATTGAAAAACAAATTTCCATTTACTTCTACAAAAGAAAATATTTTCAAGAGAGAATTTCTACATACATCCATTTTATCTGAAATGAACTTTTTTTTTATGAGTTTTTCTCAATCAATCGAATTTATCTTGAAATATTCTCTATTTTTTTTTAAAAGCTCTAGTGAGCCTTTTTTTATACTTTATTGAGTCTTTGTTCTTTTTTTTTAATTGGAAAATCGGCGAGTTTTCTCCCAGAATCATTTTATTTGTTTATTTTTTATTGATTTACTTTATTGCCAACGTATCATTTTTTGAGCGGGAAGGAGGACAAGAAAACTGTTGAATGAATTTTTATACTTCATGATATGTAGATGCCTATTTCATTGGCGAAAAAAAGAGGAAATGAACGATTTTTTTTTACGAATATTGGTATTTTCATTAAGCAGTCCTACAGTTAGTTACCTCACATTCCAAAAATGATTTTTTTAATGAGTAAAAGGTGGGTATTTTTGAGTATATGGATATTACACTTCAACTCACCACTGTACCTGATGCTCTAAAAAAATATCGTAACGCGAAGGAAACGAGACAGAAGTTGGACAGCCTTTCAGAACTATCAGGAATTGTTTGCACGCCTTTGAGAAAAAAAATGGCTGAGGAGGGTATTGGCTTGGATGATTTGAAAAATGCTTTTGTCAGAGGTGGCGAGGATGAAATGTTAAAATTATTGAGGAGTAAAGTCAATTACAACCCTCGGTCATTCAATATTGCAGACTGTTATATAAAAATTGGAGATTACTTGCAGAAGATATCACCAAAATAATTACTTCACCAAATATTTTGTTTTATAAGATTGAAAAATTAACGTGATTAAAAAACATCATCCTATTGAATAAATTCAATTGTTTATTATTCAGAAAATCTCAATTGAGTTTTATTCATCCAAATAACCCGCACTAGAATCTCGCGCATGCGCGTCGAGTGCTCTGCCGCGATGTTGCCCAGTCTTACCGCCATTTCCACATAACCAAGTATCTATTCCAAAAAATTCTATGGTTTTTCAATAATAACTAAATAACTAAGAGATAAAACATGATGAAATTTCATGAGTAAAGAGTTGAAAAATAAACAGTGAGATAGGTGCAGAGTCTGGACGCCCAGCATATTGTCTAGCTTTTTGTCGTTTTGAGGCGGGGTCTATCCACCCTGTGCATTTTTATCCACATGATAAAACTATTGCGGGTTCTGAGAATTAATTTAGAATTACTTGAATATCACACTATCCAATTCTCCAAATTGTGGCACATTTCCTAATTTTTATGAAAATTACTGAGGAGACTCCTTAACATAAGATCTTACGGAATTTAACCCGTCAGTAGGCGCGCTAAGAACGATTCTCTCACAAAAATTTTCACTTCATAAGAAATATACACTAAATGTGAAAGTATTTGGCTAAATTTTTTTATATGCCTCAAGTAACTCTTCTAGTTCACTCCTGTGATGCTAAAAGTTGTCTATTGATCAGAGTTGAGCAGAAAAAAAAATTTTTCTTCCGCTCGGCCAAAATTTTCCACATGTTACAGATATGGGACTCGGTACGCTGAACCCCGGATAGCGCCGCCTGTGGCGATATTTGCCTCTATCCTTACGAGAAGCCGATGAGCGATTCCCTCATCGCGCGCTTCAAGAATGCTGGTGGAACGTTGAGATCGTTCATGAGTCCCGTTTCGATCTTAAATTTTGAGATCGCAACTTTAAGATTGAAAATGGGTCTGATTAAAAAATCTCTAGGTAGATTTAAGTTCGGTAAGATGAAAGATCGATTGACAACGTAAAATTGATGCAGGGATTAAGATCGAAAATGTAAGACCATTTTGGAGTCTTACCTGAAACTATACTAATGAATCGATAAATTAAGTCATTCATTAATTTCTCGATAGATAACTTTGCTTAAGAATTAAATTAATGGTTTATTAAGTTAATAATTCAGTAAACAATTAATGTTTCCCTTTGTGACCTTTACATTTTTAACCCTATATTGCAATACTATCGAACGGGCGCTTCGCGCCCATCGCTAGATTAATGTATACTATTTCATTTTATTTTATTTTCGTTCTGATTCTGTCTTCATGATTAGATCAATTTAAATTCATTCGTTCTATTCTTATTATATGTATGTGTATATTTTCCTTAATTCACAAGTTCTAACATTGGATGAAGAGGAATAGAGGGTAAAAATCTAGGATTCAAAAGGTATGGGTAAAAATATGACGATCAGAAAGTGTTAGGGTTAAACCTTCCTCCTCCCTCGCGGCCCTGATATATTTTTTTTATTCAATCAACGCATATTAACGAAGGGATCAAATATATTCTGAAACCCCCTCCCCTCTTTGGGTAAAATTTGCAACCCTCCGCCATCATACCTTCCCCTCCACCCCCTCGTGCAATTTCAATTAACAAGATTTTTATTTTTTTTATTCAATAATTTTTGAATCTATTTAAAAAACGCATAGGAACGGAGGGATGGGGGTGGCTTAGAAAGGTTCTGAAACCCCCTCCGCATGATGGGTAAAATTTTCAACCCTCCGCGTCGCACCTCCCCCTTCCACCCCCTCGCAAAGTCTCAATTGCCGCGATTTTCATTGTTTATTTATTTTTTTAAATTTTTTCTATAAACGCATGGGGGTGGCTCAGTCAGATTCGGGAACCTCCTCTTCTTGTTGAATAAAATTGGCAACATTCCGTCGTCGTACCTCCCCCTCCACCCCCTCGTGAAATGTTAATTAACGAAATTTTCATTCTTTATTCAAGAACTTTTTAAATTATGTAAGTAATCCATGCCAACGGAGGGATGGGGGGTGGCTCAGATAGATTCTGGAACCCCCTCCTCCTGTTGGGTAAAATTTGCAACCCTGCGCCCTCATCCCTCTCCTTTCCACCTTCTCCGGAAATTTAAATTATCAAAGATTTTTATTTTTTATTCAAAATTTTTTAATTTTATTTAAATAACGGATGCGAACAGAGGGATGGGGGTGGCTCAGTGAGTTCCGTTGTTGGGTAAAATTTGCAACCCTTCCTCATCATACCTCACGCTTCCAGCCCCTCGTAAATTCTCAATTTTCGCGATTTTCATTGTTTATTTAAGAATTTTTTTTACGATTTTTTTAAAACTTTATTTTAAATAAACGCATGAGGGTGGCTCAGTCAGATTTGGGAGCCCTCACCCCCTTGTTGGGTAAAATTTGCAACCCTCCGTCGTCGTACCACCCCCTTCCACCCCCTCATGAAAGCTTAATCAATAGTTGGCTAAAATTTGCAACCCTCCGTCGTCGTACTTCCCCCTTCTGCCCCCTCGCAAAATCAAATTTTTTTTTGTTCAATCAACGCATGCTAACGGAGGGATGGGGGGTGGCTCAGATGAATTCTGAAACCCCCTCCCCTTGTTGAGTAAAATTTGCAACCCTCCGTCGTCGTACCTCCCCCTTTTACCCCCTCGCAGTTTTAATTTTCGAGATTTGCATTTTTTATTTAACATTTTTTTTATTCAATCAGTGCATGCTAACGGAGGGATGGGGGGTGGCTCAGATAGATCGCAAGTCTCTCGCAAAGTCTCAATTTTCGAGATTTGCATTTTTTATTTAATTTATGTTTATTCAATCAACGCATGCTAACGGAAGGATGGAGGGTGGCTCAGATATTCTGAAACCCCCTTCCCTTGTTGAGTAAAATTTGCAACCATCGGTCATCATACCTCCCCCTTGCACCCCCTCTTAAATTACCAATTTTTGCGATTTTCATTGTTTATTTAACGATTTCTGTTAATAATTTTTCTTCAATAATTTTTTTAATCAATGCGTGGGGGTGACTCAGTCAGATTCGGGAGCCCCCTCCCTTTATTGGGTAAAATTTGCAACCCTCTGTCGTCGTACCTCCCCCTTCGGCCCCCTCGCAGTCTCAATTTTCGAGATTTTCATTTTTTATCTAACAATTTTTTTTATTCAATCAACGCATGCAAATGGAGAGATAGGAGGAATCTCAAATAGATTCGGAAACCCCCTCCCCTTTTTGAGTGAATTTTGAAACCCTGCGCCATTTTGCCTCTCCCTGCAACCCCTCGTAAATTATCAATTTTCGTGATTTTCATTATTTTGTTAAGATTTTTTTTCCATTTAATCAACGCATGGGGGTGGCTCAGTCAGATTCAACAACCCCCTCCCCTTGTTGGGTTAAATTTGCGATCCTCCGCCGTCGTATCTCCTCCTTCCACCCCCTCGTGAAATCTTAATTAACGAAATTTTTCAATTTATTTAATTAACGCATTTAAACGGAGGGATGGAGGGTGGCTCAGATACATTTTGAAATCCCCTCTCCTTCGCTAGAATTTTCAACTCTGTGTTATCATGTCCCCCCCCCCCCTAATAAATACGTTATAAAGTAAATTAAAACAATGTAACAATAATTATTATTATCTAAAATTAATCATACGAAAATATATCCGATGCAATTCCTATTTTCTGTGCACTTTGATTACCTAAAATGAAATAACACAATATGCGGCAACAACGGCAACACACCCGTCAGCTAACTCGGCAGATGACTGGTCTTTACCGATCCGAGCGGGTAATTGACGCTACCGCCATCTCGCGGCATTCCCTCGACAAGCCTCTATCATCATTCTTAAAGAGTAACGGAACCCGTCGCACGCAGAGGTTAGTTTTTTGGATTTGTACGTGAAAAGTACAAAATCCCATAAAATATACATAAATGGATATAAATAAATAATAATGTTATGGAAACATTCTACCATGCTCATAGACACTGCTGATAGCCACATACACCCGAAATTGTCATAAAAACATATAACAGTTGGTTTCGTTAAAAATCCAACGGCTATAGCAGTGACATGCAAGGAAAGGGATTTCCACTGAAATTATTTCTTCATTTGCACTAATTACAGTGTCAAAAATAATGGAATTTGCCAATAAATAGTGCTGAGAGCCGAAAATCATGCAAATTATCATAAAAATTTATGATAGTTCGATTGTTGGAAACCCAGCAGCTGTCTTTGCAACATCAGCAAAGTCCAACGGCTCTGGCATTATTGGGCAGATATATTTGTTCAATTTCCCATTTTTCCACTCATCAGAGAGAGAAAAATAAATAAAAGGAACAAATAAACTGTAACAAGAAGCCGTGCAGAAAATTGAAAAAAATGTCGCAAAGTGACAGCTGGTACGTCCGAGATGTCCAACAGCTTTGCCACCGTTGAGCAAGCATATTTGTTCAATTTATCATTTTTTCAATCATAAGAGTAAAAAAATCAGATAATTTAAACAAATAAACGGTAGCAGGAGCCAAAAAGAAAATATAAATAATGTCACAAAGTGACAGTTGGCACACCAAAGATGTCCAACAGTTCTGCCACCATTGAGCAAGCATGAAAAGAGTGGAAAGAGTGGAAAATTACAAGAAAGATGATTAAAAAATAGAAGAACACTTTCGCCGACTTTTGATTTTGTTTTATCAAACAAATGGATTGTGGGGGGCATGGGGAACGGCGATGGCAGCAGTGGCCATACTGTTGTTGGTACCATCAAGCGCTGGATGGAGAGGGCTGGATGGCAAAAACAAATATTTTTTGGTCAAAAAAATGAAAAGAAAATTTTACATGTATTACATCCCAACTCAATTTGAATATAAATTGGCGAGATGAATTAATCAAGTTAACACAATTTATTATACAAGGTTTTTGAAAAAAATGATCAATTTAGTTGTGCACTTGACCCAATTGGCATCCTTAAGAAGAACGATCTGTTGTTACTGCCAATATTCCTATCAATGACGACGAATTTCGATTCTCTAGTTATTTTCCGTCGATCCAAATAGTGTTACATTTCAGAAATGATCTGTGAACTATGTATGTGAATTTCTAAGGGATTTATGACTGCAAACTGCAGCTTCATTCCCCGTGCAATAATGAGATAATGTGGACAATCTATAAAGCTCTGATTTGTGGGAAAATAATGAGTAATTATAATTGTCTAATATGTGAATCAACTATGAAAAGTGTTATTACTCATTAACTCGGCCCAACAAAGGAATTCAGTAAAAAAACCTGAAAATTGTTTTGCGTGCTTGTCGCGTACAAATCGTTAATTTTCTTTGATACGAACGATAGAGGAAATACTTATTTGTAAGAGAGAGAGAGAGAGAGAGAGAGAGAGAGAGAGAGAGAAAGGTTGGATAATCCGAGAAATGTAAACAGAACTACCTGTGAACGACACAGGTATTGATTGCTGTGTATAGACCGGATTCATCAGTTAATAGTGAACTGCGATCAGCTCATCTTCGATTTAAATCGTCAGTTTACACCGTAAGTCATTATTATTACAATATTGTTATGTGCAGTAACTTTCTGATGGGAGAGTAATAGTAAAAGTTTTTTTTTCGTACTTATTACGACACAAAAAAAATCCGTGCGCGTGCTCACACTCACACACACTCCCATGCACACACATCGCCGTATTCCGCATCGAGAAAAGATGTAATTTATCAGAAAAGTAAAATTGTTTCTTGAATGTATATCGATTTCGAAAAAAGCTAGTGAACTGCTGATTAAATGTCTTCCAGTATTCCATGATTTGTGCGTTATATCAAGATTTTTTCGTTTCTAACAAAAAAAACTTGAAATCGCATCGTTATGCACGGAGAAATGGTCTCGTTTACAAAAAAACGCTAATTTTCGACTTTTTTCCAAATGTTTTTTGGAAAAAACTGGAGAAACGCTGAGATGATCGTCTCCATAATCTAATCAGGTTAAAGTCATATGAAAATACAGCGATTAAAAAAAAAGAAAGTCAAATCGCATCGTTTGTTCAGGAGGAATCGTAGCACAAAATTTTTGTCACAGACGTACGCACACACATACACACATCCACACATACGGACAGGTATCTGAAAAGGGTCAGAAGTGGTTCCAAAGGTCATGAAACGTGGAGAAATGCTTAAATTTCCACATTCGATTTTCGGGGTCATTACAATAACTTCCTCCCTTCGGGTCGGGAAGTTAAAAATATAATTTTCAAAGAGAAACGCCCAGAAATATAAAAACAGACAGAAAAATAGCATTATTCCTAGCAATTATTGTACAATTGTGATTTCACGCAATATTATAATAATCGCTAGAAGTAAGAAAGAGAAAACTTCAATTGTCAGCTGAAGGCGACAAACTATTTAATTGATTCAACGGATTATTTATTCAACATTGAAATCAATACTAATATTGGAAGAAGGCAATTATAGAGAAGAATATCAGCATTTCAAGCCATTATTACACTATTGTAATTTCCTGCAATATAGTAATAATTGCGAGAAATAGAAAAGAGAAATCTTCAAGTGTCAGCTGGAAGTGACAAACAAAATATCCAATAGCCACCCAAAGGTGAAAAAAAACCGTAAAGAACAAAAAATGACAGTCAATCGAAAATCAAACAAGGAAAGAAATAAAAATAATAACAATAGGCGTCGAATAAATGCAAAAAAGGACAAAAATAATTCCATGACTCCCAATGGTGAGGTTCGAGCCCAACAGCAACATGATAAACTAATAATATTTATCATTAATCGATTGATTTCATTTCTAGAACTCATGGGGCTCATGGAGAGGTTGTTGGGGATTAATCCGAGGTTGGACCTTCCGGCAACCCCGGATGCTCCCCATCTCCAGAGGGAAAACGGAGAGGGGGCGGAAGGGCAAGCCAATGCAGAAATCGGACCACTGATGGGAACTTTGGTCCGATTTCTGCAACAGCAGCAGCTGCAACAACAACAGCAGCAGCAACAACAACAACAGCGACAACTACAACAGCAGCAGCTGCAACGCGAGCTGTTATTTATGCTGGTGGCCTGTAGGCCACAAAGTCCAAGGGATTTCCTTGGACTTTTGGGGTCATTCCTCCAAAACCACCAACACGGGGAGAGACGTAAGTTGAAATTTTTAAATACATAATATTGAAATAAATATATAAAACTAAATATTTATCGCAATCGTTGATGTATAATTATTATCATTTTGTGATTACAGAGCGGGGAAACAATGGAGGCAGGAGCCGCAGGACGTGGGGTGGCCGTCGTGGCGGGAGCGGTGGACGTGGAGGTGGCGGACGTGGCGATGGCGGATATCGCGGGGAATATCGCGGTGGATATCGGGGGGGATATCGTGGACGATTCCACCGCGATAATCATTATTATTGAAACATTTTATTCATGATTTTTTTTTTGTGATATTCAAATTGTACTGTGATATTTTTTTCGACTTTTTTTTTTGTACATATTTTTTTGAGCTTTTTTTTATGAATAAAAATTATGAAATTAAAAAAAAAATCGTTTAATATTAATTACTTGATACTAATTTTTTGAAAATATGGAAATTGATTAATTTTATCGGAAAGTTGTTGGTTTGAACGAGTTGACCGTTCAAACCCATTCGAATTAATTCGAATAGCGAAACATGGCAATATCCCAGTGATTCATTTAATAATTGAGACGCCACTTAAAAAGACGCCACTTAAAAAGACGCTACTTAAAAAGACGCCACTTGTTTTCCTCAAACAGAATTTTTGTAGTTATTTCCTGGTAATTATTCCAATGTGACGATTGACGACCAGCTGACAGGGGCGGCGGGACGTGAAAATCTGAGGTGTTGAGTATGAGTAAGAGATTTGGAGGGGAGGGGGGGGATTGGGTGGCGGGAGGGGAAATCAATGCCTGAAAGTACTTGTGAACGTGTTTTTATTCTTATAATCTTATTAATCTTCGAATTTTTCAGAGGTTCATCAGTTTTATAAATGTTTAACAGGCTTCTTTGGCATCCCCCTTGCAAATGTCTCCTTTCGTCTCTTATTTCTACAGATAAATTCATCCATCAAGTCATTTACATCTAAGGTTGAAGCTAACTCGTCATAAATATGCAATATTGCAATATGATTCAATCGAGATTGTAACATTTTTGAACGTAAATATGTCTTTAAACGCCTCAATGTAGAAAAGGAGCGCTCATTTGTACACGTAGAGCCAGGTACCGTCAACAATATTTGGATCAGTCTTTTGAACTCTGGAATCATGTCAGCGAGCGCAGGGTTGTGCTTCAGGAACATGACGATATCTTTCAAGGGNCATGACGATATCTTTCAAGGAGTCAATTTTCGCCTCTTTTCGAGTAGAAACATCGAGAAAAGTGTCACGATGACGTTCCAGTAATCCTGCATTGAAATCGGCGCTTCCTGTATTGTACACTTGCGTGATCTCTTCGGTAGTCACTTCGCCTTTACCCAGAATAAAGTCCTCACATTTATTAAGGAAATTTATCGTCTCTGACTCAAATCGAGTATTTAATGATGACATAACTTGGTCAAAGACTTCATAGTAAGTTTTCCGAAAATACTCTTCTGGGGTGCTGAAGACGTGTGCCTTACTAGAACTGTCTCTGTTCATGCGCCTTGAGATTTTTCGTAAGCGCGGGATCTTTGGTTCCTCAATATCGAGGGAAGTGATGCCGTCCATGGATTTTTCCCAAATTGAGGAAAATTTGGAATCACGAGACGCAGACAATATTGATTTCATGACTTGCACTCTGTTGTTCGACTCTTTTATACACAGATCAACTCGTTGCAGCTCTGTGTTCAAAATTTCGATTTGTTCAAAAACGTCAATCGACAAAGTTAAAAGAAAGAAGAAATCAAACGATTCCATTTGATGCAGAAGTCCCTCCACTTTGGCGAAGACATCCTTATTTTGACAATCGTCTTTGTAGCCTTCGAGAAATTCCATAATCACTGAGTAATTTTCGTGGACTGTTTTCAGTGACTTCACGCGAATACACCAACTACCAGAGAAAAATAAATCGTAAGAGACCTGAATCAAATTGCCAAAACAGAGAATTTTTCATTCTAGATAGTTGTAAACGTTACCGTGTTGGACAGAATGCTGCTAAGTTCGGATTATCTGAAGTTTGCAATTTCTTGAAAGCAGCTAACCGCTTAGGCGAATCTCAAAGAAAATCAATTAGATTTTTCATGTTTCCTAGAAAATTTCTTACGCATGGAACGCATTCCATCGCATCTTGAACAACTAAATTGAGCGTATGAGCTGCACAATGAACGTACACAGCACGCGGTTCTACTTCCTTGATACGTGTTTGAGGACCTGTCTTGTGTCCGCTTACATTGGCTGCCCCATCGTAGCACTGACCACGCATGTTAGAAAAGTTTAGATTATATCGGAGTAATGCAATCTCGACGAGCTTGAATAATGTTTCCGATTTTGTATCCTCTGTCGAATAAAATCCCCCGAAAATTCTTCGACAGATAGATCTGTATGCACTACCCTAAGACAAATTGAAACTTGTTCCACTCTAGAAATGTCTGAGGTTTCATCAAATCATTATAACATAATACTTCTCATTTATAATCACCTCCAAATTTTTTCTCAATACCTCATTAGCCATAATTTCCAAAATTTCATTAACGATATCATGGCTCAGCCATTTCCCTTTCTCGATTTAACCACGTCTGTAACTCAGGTACGCGTCGAGCTAGCAATCGTAAAACTCGAAGGAGGTTAGAACGCTCGTCGTTGTTACCGCGAAGAGGTAGACCTTGTTGGGCTAACATTAAAATAGTATGAAAAATCTCTGATAAGGCAGTACGAGAATCAAGCATTTCTCTCTGCTTTGTCGTACTGATTTGTTCAGCAATATTTGTTCGTTTCCTAAAATTATTAATTGCATTCACTGCCTCAGTATGCAAAGAACTAGATTCGTGATTACGATAACGAGTTATGGCATTGGTCCAGCAATTAAATCCACTTGTCACAAATGCCTCTAGTGAAATACTTCCACTTCTACACGTTAAAGAATCTCCTAATAATAAATTCTTCTCTGTAGCTTCAGTACAGATTAAGCACACGACTTTCCTGGATGAACTGAGAGAAATCCAAGGATACTGAGATTTCCACCGCTCCCATGTACTTTTTGAGACGGGCAAATCTTGATCTAAAAAGACTAATAGCGAGAGAATATAAAATTTAAGATAATAACGAGGCTGGCATGATTTTCAATGATTTGTAGGAAATCTTACTTGACTCTTTATCTTGAGTAGGGATATTTTCGGAATCACTCTCACATTTGTTGCTGTTATTCAATTTTTGTTTTTTTCTGGTTAGATGTGTGTCAAAAGAGTCTGAATCTTTATAGGTTAAGTCGTCTGTAAGGGGTAGGTTGCGTTGTTGAGGCTCTGCGTCGACTGCCTTGTTTAATGGTATGAGAAATCTTTTCATCTTGGCCTAGCAGATGTTATTCAAGGGGCAAACATATCAGGCAGTCACGAATACACCGACATAACGATTCGGAAGTGCTCGGAAACTCAGCTGTGGCGGTGGGTCTGTGCAACCTACACAATTGTCCACTGCACGAGCGTGAGCAAGCACACACATTCATACACATGCATATGCTGACTAAAGCATAAATTTCCTTTCTCGGGATTGTTTTTATATCCAGTCTTACACTTACTCACAGCACAGCACGGCATGTTTTCTACATTAACAATTCACTATGAAGACATCAAAATACGCATTTTTCAATACACGTTGTACACTGATTTTTTACTCCTCAATTATTTATTTCTTTTCAACGATATAAGATATTCGGAATGATTATAATGTTGCGAAGGTTATGTAGTACGTTAGTTCTGTCAAACACCGACTCCGCATGACAAGCAGCGCCATGCCAAGCAAGCCACGCTAACGGGGACGTGATTATCTAAGGGCAATATGGTGTAGTGTCACCCCCCTGGCTTGCGGTCAGACCAACCCAGAGATCTGAGCCTCTAATTTAGTCAATCCTCTTTGAGTATACTGCTGCAAAACGCCCAACCAGAGATAATAGGGGAGATTGCTCAGGCTTATGGGAACTGACCCCCAGGTACCTAGCCGACGTAGGTCACTAATTAGAAAAATGATCTTATGTACTCGATTGTACATCGTTAGTACATGATTGTACAGTGATTTTTTTTGTTTGTACACCCACCAATTAATTTAAAAAAATTAATGAAGTTTTGGCATGATTCTAGCCGACAAAAATTTCAAACTGTTCAATCAGCTCAAGTTAGGGATCTATCTCAAAGGAAATCGTTTGTACATTACGAATTTGATATTATTATCGTTTGTACAATCATCATTTATTAGTTAAAGCTGCGGTAAGTAATCATTGTCAACCCCCCCCC